ATGTATATCTTACTAATCTTATACTCCCTTTATAGATGATTTTCTACATGCTTTTTTTATCAAATTAGATAATTTTTTAAGTTTTCAAAACAAAATTAAATGCATTTTATTTATTTTGACTATTTGTATTTGCAGTTTGATTTACTATTGGTTGAATTGTATTTAATTGAATGATAAATGATATTTTAATTTATAAAAACTAAAAAAATTAAAGTTTTTTTAATCTATATATGTGTAACATCCTAAAAAATCATCTAAAATGATACAGATGGAGTATAATATAGTAAGGTTTCTTAAAATTCAAGTTATGAAAGGCTGCCAAGTGTCATCTAATTTTTTGACATTTATCTTTTTGTTTTATTTATTGAAAAGAAAAGAAAAATTAACTGTTTTTTAATAACTTTAGCAATTAATTTTAACAATTAAATAGCTAATTTTTTATGTAAATTAATTCTAACAAGTTACAATTAAGTGTTTTGTGTATATTTATGTAATTTTTATGTAAATTACAATATAATTCTTATGTAAATTTATGTATAGAAAATAAATATTTTATTTATGAAATCCAATAATCTTATATAATATAATTTTTATGTAATTTATGCATACAATGATTTTAAGATTTTTAAGATTGTTAAATCCAACAAGTCTTATTGGAGAAATTTAGAATTTAAACGTTTTTTAAATTTAAACCCAATGTACCAATCATCCTCTAATGTAATTGAAACAATTTGTGTTGGACAAAGTAACGTTTCTAACCAAGACTTTCGAAAGAAAACTTTACTCCACCATAAATTTTAAATCCAGAAAAACAAAATCACTTCACCAATTAATTGATGTGAAAGATAAAAATCACAACAAAACAATATATTGAGTGAGACAAAAATACAATTAAACGTCAATTATATCTCCTTGTGATTCAAGGTTATAATGAAATAAACAAAAAGATGCATTCCAACACCTATGTTGAGATGATGTAAATGTCTCGGTAGAAATAAATCATACTACAATTTGTCTGATCAATAGATTTTTATAAACGTATTTGATGCAAAAAAGATGATCAATCATTTTTTTAGAAAATCATAGTGAATATTAATGCATACATAAAAGTTAAAGATTTGTGTCAAAGAAAATGTCTTCCATATGTTGTAATAAATTTTATAAATGCTTAATCTTCTAACTTAAAATAATTATTTACTATAAACACTTAATTTATATAATACTAAATTTATAAATTATTATAATCAATAACTATAAATTATTAATGTTCATTTTTACCATATTCATTTTTAGTTGCGTGGACAATTCCTAATTTTCATATATGATTAGGCTTACAAGAACCAGTTGTTTTGCTGAGCCAAAATAAGGTGGATAATAATACCATGTGAGTTATGATTAGACAAATATGTGTTCTATTCACATCTACTTAACTTTTTGCCTTGATCTAGACTAGTCCATCAATTTACTTTCTGATAGATTCTAAAAGTAATGTAATTTTCGAAACAAGGAAAATTATGGATTTGTATTCTAATAATTAAAACTAGTAACAATTTCCATACTTTAATAGGAATGAATTAAGAAAAGATAATTGAGATTAATAACGATGGACCACACATGGAGTTGTGGCTCAACACAAGGAAAACAAAACATTATATCGACGACATGAAAATGAGATATCAACAACTAACACAAA